TCTACTGTAGGGATGTTAAGAGGCGAGTAACCCACTAATCATGTAGTGGATAAAATGTTTATTGACTACACGATTGGTTGATAAGGGAAGGCTGCTGCGGCTCTGCAGTTTAAATGTAGTAAGGCAGCCTGGCTCCTACTACATTTAAACTGCAGAGGCGCTGGACCCGTCCCGAGCCAAGACTAAGTCGGGCTTGCTCATTCCCAGTTTGTGCCAGGTCCATCAGCCCCTGTCCTGGACCCACCGTGGGAAGAGCAGCATGGGGGAGAAAGGGCAGGTGGCACCACAGAGATGGTGTTGGGGGAACCAGCTTTTAAGCCGGATCCCCCCCACCCCTGCTGCCTCTGATACAGAGGCAACAAGCGGGAGGGGGAAGCGAGTAGTAGACTTGACTAATGGATATGCCTAGGCTTATTGGGTAGTCGACAGCTTGCTTACATCCTATGTCTATTGCAGCAACAAGGTCTGCAGGTGTTTGTTTGCCTGTCTTCTGTCAATACTGAAAGGTTGTCTTTCTAATCATATGAACTGGGCTGTACCTATTAGTTTCCCAGAGCACTGGGTTCTAGCCCTGGCTCTGCCATTGATCCCTTAGGATCTTGGGTATGTTACTCTGTGCCTTAGTTTCCTGAGCCATACCATGGAGATTAAAAATAGATCAGTCTCCCAGGTGAGGCAAGTGTATTCACATCTGTCAAGCCCTTTAAGATCCACCAACGGAAAGCGCTGTGGAAAAGCAGAATGCTGTTAATTAGCAGAGGATAGACATAAAGGCGACAGGTGCGTATGAAAATTCATTGATGCGACCCAGCGCCTTAGAGCAGTGCCTGTAAGGCTGCATAGGGAAATGGAGTCTGGATTGAAGAGCGCAAAACCCCTTGATATTTTTCTCCTTAGTCTCCTGCTTTATATTCTTGAAATGTGTTTGAAAATAACCCTCCTGATGCACTGCCCCAATCCAGCACTGGAGATGTGGTACAGGTATCCAATGGTGATCTGGTATGCCCTCCACTATGCCCCAAAACAATCAGATCGCTTAGCTGCTGGCATGTGTTACACCCAGGGGGCTGTAAGTCATTTTCTTTTGAACAACACTTCACTTAAGGGCTGTCAGTCTCATCTGTGGAGAGACACTTTAGGAATTACAACATGGCTAATTACCAGATGGAGAGCTGCAGCCAAGTCTTGGGAAAAGTTTTGTGGGTATAAATACATAGATATAGAGAGAGTGACTGCAAGGCAGTCTGAAATGGGAGTGGGGTGGAGCAGCTTTTACCACTGTCGCTGAATCTCTTCTAATCTGTTTTATACAACACCCATCTCTGTGGTAGCCACCTCGTTCTCCAGCTCTTAAGACTCAGGTGTTTGTTCATGCCACTGCAATTAGTCCTTCATGATTAGATGGTTATCAAAAAATACACAGCAACCTTTCAGCATCAATTCAAGCCTGCTAACCTGTGAACACCTATGAATGTTCCACACAAATTTTGCTACATGCTGTTTTATTTTCCGGTGCTCTGATTATTCTTTGTGTTCTTGATAAGACGATAAAAATATTGAACAGACTCCAGTGCATCAGCTGCCTTAGCTTCCCCTCTCATTTTATCACGGCAATAAATCCTTTGTTATTGTGCAAGACCCAATATTGTTTCTGATACCCTCGAAGTTAATTACAGCTCACTTATTCAGATCCTTATGAATACAGTTTAAATTGTCTTTTAGAAAACTAAAAGGTGCTGTGAGCTTTGTCAAAGGCGCTTTGCAGTGTTTTTTCCATAAGCTGCAGAACCTTTCTTTGACATCAGGCTGTCTTGCAGATCAATTCTTACTTTCCTTTAGAAAATGATTGTATTTGTTTGCATTACTAAGCGCCTTTCATCCTGGCGGATCCTAATGTATGTCACTAACAGCATCACTATATTCTAGCTACCTCTGTTGTGGATTGTGGTAACCATCTGGCTCAAAGCAGGCTGTGCATGTGAGAAGAAGTTTTGATAAGTGTAAGCAGGCTGGGGACCAAATGGCTAAGTAGCAGTTCTGCAGAAAAGGACCTGGGGATTACAGTGGATGAGAAGCTGGATATGAGTCAACAGTGCGCCCTTGTAGCCTAGAGGATTAATGGCATATTAGGGTGCATTAGGAAGAGCATTGCCAGCAGATCCAGAGAAGTGATTTCCCCTTTATTCGTCTTTGGTGAGGCCGCACCTGGAGTATTGTGTCCAGTTCTGGGCCCCCCCACTAAAGGGTGATCAAAATGATGCAGGGGCTGGAGCACATGACCTGTGAGGAGAGACTGAAGGATTTGGGTTTGTTTAGTCTGCAGAAGAGAAGAGTGAAGGGGGATTTGATAGCAGCCTTCAACTTCCTGAAGGGAGGTTCCAAAGAGGATGGAGAGAGGCCGTTCTCAGTAGTGACGAATGGCAGAACAAGGAGCAATGGTCTCAAGTTACAGTGGGGAGGTCTAGGTTGAATATTAAGAAAAACTATTTAACTATGAGGGTGGGAAAGCACACCCCTGGGTTACCTAGGGAGGGGATGGACTCTCCATCCCTAGAGGTTTCTAAGTCTCAGCTTGACAAAGCCCTGGCTGGGTTGATTTAGTGGGAATCAGTCCTGCCTTGGGCAGGGGGCTGGACTTGATGACCTCCTGAGGTCTCTTTCAGCTCTATGATTCTAAGGGCAGGACTGTACTCTTAAGACAAGTGGCATGGAATGGTTAAACTTCACAAAGGGAAGAGAAGGCCTCTGTTTAAAGTGTGGAGTCAGAAAAATGACAGGGGAAAAAACTGACCGCTCCTTGTATGTATTTGTCCTATCTGATGGTATAAATGCTTTTACACCTGTTAGCCTTGCAGTGGCAACACAGCTGTGGAAGAGGATGCTGGATGCCATTCTGGCTCACTCCTCCATGGAATCTTTGTTCCTGCTGCACAATCTGTTTTCTATTCCCATGGTATCCAGGCACCTAGCTGATAATGCACAAGCCAAAAAATCCTAGGCTGAGTTTGCATGTCTAGCAATTAAAAAAAAAATCCTTCCTTTACATAACTGAGCCCATGTGAAATCAGTGGAAGATAGGAAGGAGCCTTAAACAGCTTTGGAATCTGGGCCAAGCCTGGAACCAACACCATGCTGGATTCTAAGAGGCACTGTAAACTGCCTGGAATTTATTTTAGTCTACTTGGGAAGGGCAGAGGTAATCATGGAATAGGAGAGAATCTGGCAAAAAGTGTCCTGCCTTCACCTTTTACAGATCTGTCCACTGTGCCAGTGCTTAATTTAAAGAATGCCAGTGACCATGCCTGGTGAACGCACAAAAGAACTTAGGAATATTGCAACATGGCACACAAGTTTTTGGAAAAAGGCCAAGCTATGGTGGACTCTTCCATCAGGCACAGTTGATAGTTACAGTGGCGATGTCCTTTATCTCCATGGCATGATATGGTGAGAATATTTCAGTAGTGGCGAATGAAGGTTGAGAGGTCCAGGCTGGAGCAGACAGGCATGTCTGACATCCTAGCTCTGGCGGCGACCCCAAGCTATGGTGGACTCTTCCATCAGGCACAGTTGATAGTTACAGTGGCGATGTCCTTTATCTCCATGGCATGATATGGTGAGAATATTTCAGTAGTGGTGAATGAAGGTTGAGAGGTCCAGGCTGTAGCAGACAGGCATGTCTGACATCTTAGCTCTGGCGGTGACCTTTTGAGATTTCAGAAGGCGGCTAACATCAAGAGGGAGAATTCAAGAGACTGGCGTGGGGAACAGTTAGTCAGACCAAAGATCCTACAAGTCAAACATTCTACTGTCACCATGCAAGGCTAATTGTTTCTCATTTGTTTTCAGAACAAAACCTGGAGCGCCAAGTGTTACAGACACAGTGCCGTCGGCTGGAGGCCCAGCACTACAGTCTCAGTCTGACTGCAGAGCAGCTGTCACACAGCATGGCGGTGAGTAGACACTTTGACATGCTGGGGAGGGAGGAAATCTACTGTAACCCCAGTAGAGGTAAATTGGAGGCTATCATTGGGAAGGTGGAAGTGAGGACAAGAGAACAAGCATGAGACACGTAGTGGTGGTGGTGGTGAATGCACTCCTAGAAGGCGCTCAGATACTATGGTGTAAACACCTGTATAGAATAACCTGCTTCTCAGATGACCTAGAGCCCATTTGTATACAACATCTTATAAAACTGCACTAGCAAGTATGCAGACAAGGTCACTATAAGCAGCTTGACTCTGGTAGCAAGGGAGGAAGACCCATCCAGAGTCTGTGCAAACCTATAAACAATTTGTAGGGCAGAACTGCTCCTCTTCGCTTGCTCCGTACCCCCACCATCAATGGGAATTCAGCACATGCAGAGCAGTGGGTTTATCATAACACTTGGGCTGTGTCTAAACTGGCAAGTTATTCCAGAAAATCAGCCGCTTTTCTGGAAAAACTTGCCAGCTGTCTACACTGGCCGCTTGAATTTCCGGAAAAGCACTGATGATCTAATGTAAAATCATCAGTGCTTTTCCGGAAAAACTATGCAGCTCCCGTTCGGGCAAAAGTCTTTGTCCGGAAAACTGTTCCAGAAAAGGGCCACTAGACAGCACAGTAGTGTTTTCCGCAAAAAAGCCCCGATTGCGAAAATGACGATCGGGGCTTTTTTGCGGAAAAGCGCGTCTAGATTGGCCACAGATGCTTTTCCGGTAAAAAGTGATTTTCCGGAAATACTTTTAATGGAAAACCTTTTCCGTTAAAAGCATTTCTGGAAAATCATGCCAGTGTAGACGTAGCCTTGCTGTGTAAGAATTTTGGTTCTGACATCTCTTTTCTTTCCTCACTGGCTGGCCCCCTGAAAAAGTGGCTGCAGGGTTCCCCATCGCTGCACCACAGGGAAAAGACATGGGCTGGCTCTAGCCAAAGCTGGATGTCTGGGTCTCCATTCTTAGGACAAGAGCTATGAGGTGGTAGGATGGACAAACATAAGAGGGGAGCAATGCTGTGAAACATACAGATGCCACAAAACTTGAGAAGAACCTCGAGGGCTGATTCCAAGCCCACTTACTCAGGGAAAACTCAACAGGACTACCCCAACATGAGAGAAGGATCGGCCCTTCTGATTGTAGCCAACTCTGCTGTATAATTTCCACCTGCCCACCAAACCACCCTAATGTTGGCTGCAACAAACCCAAAGCGTAATATATCCCTCAGAGATACACATCCTGGAAGAGAAGCACTACATGCACATGTATGTCAATGTCTTTTTTGTATTTTCCTATTCCCCTACAGGAACTAAGGAACCAGAAACAGAAGATTGTCTCGGAAAGGGAGCGACTTCAGGCCGAACTAGATCACTTGAGAAAGTGCCTTGCATTGCCTGCAATGCAGTGGTCTAGGGGTTATTTCAAGGGATATCCCAGGTGACGCTCCCTTGCACTAGGCCGAACATATAGTATAGAAATAATAATCTATTTTATTACCTTGAATATTTAATATTTTTCACTGGGAGGTTTGAAGCTAAAAAATAAATGGAGAATGTGCCATGCATGGAGCAAAGGACTATGGGATCCGGAAAAAATACCCACCTCTATCTTGACTTCAATGCAACTGAATCTTTGTAATTCTGCAAGCAACCCACCCATGAAGGCTAGATTTTGTTTAATTTTAATGAGGGTTTTTTGCCCCTTCTTCCCTCCACTTTTTAATTTTTTTTAAAATCTGATAAAAAAACTTCATCAACAACACTAATAGCAACCTCCCCTTTGGGAGGGTGCTCTCCACACACAAAATCATTCTTTTGTTGCCATATAAGTCCAACTGCTGTACCATGGGGTTTGCCTATTCTTCACTGGGAAGATGGTCTCTCTCGCATTAAGAGGAAGCTGGTACACTTTTGAAAGCAAACAAACTGTGTATCATCTCAGATACGAAAAGCTGTATCTACGCTGGAAGGAGCAAACACAGCTTCAGAACTTGAACCTGTCCCAAAATCAACAGGCTTTCCACTGGAATGCACTTCACTATAAAAAATAAAGTGAATAAACAAACCGCAGGTACCTTTTGATTACTGTTTTGGGAGGGGAAGGGGTAGGGAGCAGAATTTACAGAATAATAACACACACACACACACACAGACACACACACACACTTAGAATGACACAAATTACATACCCTCATGGGTGAAATTTTCATACAAACGCAAATGATTTTACAATTTAAAAAAGGTGCTTCAGCCTTGTACTGTGTATATATTTAAAAAGTTTTGTATGTTTTTATTACTTTAATTATTGTTATAAAAAGCTTGCCATTTTTAATATGTTTCTGCTTTTTTTTTTTGGACAAAATAACTTGCTTTTAGTGTTTGTACTGCTGCTGGTCAGGACATGAAAAATTATTGACGTGTTTTAAAAGAATTTTTAAAAAAAGCTTTCCACTGGGGCATGTGCTATCACTTCTGTTTTTTGCTTTATATAGCATCAGTTACTTGTACAGGCAATTCTGTTACTAGAAGGCCGGGAAGTAATTATTCCTTACCTCCTTGTCCCTGAGCTGCATTTCTCCTCCCCCCCCCCCCCCCCCCCCCTCTTCAAAAGCACTTCAACAGTTACATTACAAATATGACCAGCTGCTACTAAATGGGGAAGGGAGGGGAACGTCTGTGTGGGGAACAAAAGTTCAAAACTAAATGAACTGTTTGGGTCTATGATCTAGCGTTACTGCTGTCTTTCAGTGCTATGAGCAGGACTAATGTAGAAAATGTTTTAAAGGGAAGCACTTGTGTTAGCCATGAGGTGCTACGGAACCACAGGACAGAAAGCAGAGCTGTCTGAGCTGAGCTTCCCCTGGTGTTTAGTCAGGAGAAACACCAACGGGACTAGGAAGGAGGAGGAGGAAGTGGAAGTGCTCCCAGCTTACCCTTTCTTTCTCTGAATAACACTTCTGTGAACTAGGAGGCCTTCTTTCACAGAGCTGACTTGAAATTCAGTTTCCAGTTGGGTTAGCCCAAACCTGGATGAGCTCTATTTCTTATAAAGGGTGAAGGGCCATAGCAGCTTTCTGAGCACCCCCCACGGACTAATTTTTGTTTTTTATTAACTTCTTAGATGCAGAGAAGCATGGTGGGTAATAGGTGTCTGCTTGCCTCCTACTTCCTAGCAGCTGACAGTAAAGTGCATTTCCTCATATGCCATTTGCTCTGTGTGTGTCAGGAATATTTCAATTTAAATTAGGAGGAAGTGGCACCACAAGGAACAGCACTAATAGGATCTTCATTTTCTAGCTATGAAACGGGACAGGAAAGGCCATAGGCTTTTCATACCCTGTTCCCATACTCACCTGCTAGGCATGTTCTGTTGCCAAGGGCAGGGATCTGGGGACAATTGATGAGGCTAAAGTATCATAAATATCTCTGATCAAAAATCTACATATTACTCTTCCACCTCTAGAATTGGATGTCTCTCTCCTATTTTGGGTAGGGAGGGGGAGGAGATAGAGCTACCTGTCCTGTTGTAACAGTGAAGCACCTGGAGTGGAAAAAACTTCTAGTAATCACAACATGCTCTAGGCAAGGTTCCTGGTGTTCCTTCTCCCTGTTGTTTAGTCTATTACTGTTCTTCACAAGAAACATTCACTCTGACTAAATCTCAGGCAAGGCCTTAGCCTATTGCATTCCTGGATGGTTTTGCAGCTACCTGTTTTCAGATGGCAATGGCAGCTATTCCAAGCTTTTGTGTAGCTCATGACTGAGGAGCTAGCCTGAGTGAAACGACAGCAGAATAGGGAAAAGCAAAATCCATGTGCCATGCTTTAAGTAACATCAGCCTGTTGTTAGATGCAGTAGAGAGGTCGTGATTTCCCTTTAGCCTACAAACATCCAACTGCAATCCTGCTAGGTTCCACATTAGAATCAGAAAGATTCCTTCTCCCTACCCCCCCGAAGTACCAAGACAATCAGATTAAATAACTTATGTTGGAACAGACAATAAATAAGAAAAATTACCAGAAAAGCTGAAACTGATACTCATTTTAAGCCATGCAATTTTACATTTTCCCTCTTTCATGGTCATATTTAGGCTAGTACACACAAACCTCCACAATCTATCTTGAGCCTGTTCCATGCTGCAAATGGAAGAAAGTAAAGCAGTTGCTGACTACTATTGTTAATTTAGCTTTACCCAAAAAGCTGAAGTGATGACCTGTATGTCTGCTCATGTGCTCGTCTTCTGAGGAGCTGACACTATTTCTGTTTTCCATCTGGGAGACTGAGACGCAGACAAAACTACATCAAAACATACAATAGGAAGAACAATAAATATTTCACCCCAGGGTTGGCTTCAGAGCTGATTTGTGCCATTTTGGTTTCAAAGTGTTTACATGAAGGAACATCTGTCTTTGACCACAACAGGCCTGCAGTTTTCCTTTCACTCAGAGAGAAGAGATCCTTTTTAAAGTGCCGTTATGAGCAGGCAAGTGACTAGAACGCTATACAGTTTTAAAGATTTACTCTTAGTTGATGTTTTTGGTGTCAGTTTTGCCTATTTTTACAACTCAAAAATGAGCCCATTCTTAATGCCAAGGTAGGTTACTGCCAACCTGAAACTAAAACCACAGCCTTTCTGCTTCATATGCTGTCAGCAGCAATCAAAGATTCTAGAAACAGAATTCATTTGGAAATGCTGCTCACAAGGTAACTAGAATTTAGCTTCGGCTATTGAGTCTTGTAAATGCTACATGACAGCAGAAAAAATGAGAGTGGGTACTAGCAGCTATGATGCAAAATATACCAAGCAGCACCAAAATGCCATTTTTAGAGTCACTTTTCTAATCATAATTGCATTTTAAATACTGGGGGCTTGTAAACAATGAGATGGGCTCAATTTAAAGAAAGGATGTTACCACTGCTTTATGTTTAAGGGCAGTTATTGCATGTGCAAAAAGCGTTTTTAAGCACACCGTCGTCTCGGTTTAATTTACCAGTTTAAGCAGCAAAATGCATTTAGGGTTGAGTTATTTAAATCAGAATGCATGGTGCGCCTTGGGGCTACAAGCTGCCAAATCACAAACTTAATAATTTTAACTCCAAAAAATACACTTTATGCTTAAATCACTGTTTCCCCTCTCAGTCAGATTATCCATCAACTTCAATACACCTCAGAGTGGGAGTTCCTAAGAACACCACCAGATGGCAATGTTTAGGAGGAGCCTGTTTGAAAATGTAACTTTACTTAGCAACAAATCCCTGTACTGGAGAATGCAGATTCCAGACTCCTCCCCCCCCCCCTCCCATTTCCCGCATACAAAGAGACAGTAGGTAATCCCCAACTTCTTGACCCAGTGCTCAGAAATTCTCAGTACTACTCCCTCCCTCTCCCTTCGGGTCATGTTGACTGGGAGTGTTTATCTGTATGTACCCTGTGCAGAATTGCTAGAGCAGTAAGACCAGAGGATGGGAAAGAGGGGGGAGGGGGAGGAAGCCCAGGCTTGCTGGGGGCAGTTTAGATGCTGTGAAAGAAAAATTAAACCTGTTCTAAGTGTACTTGTTTGAATTAATTGTAATGTAATATATTATTTGTTGAATGTAGTAATTAGGTATTTATGAATATATTGCTGTAATTTCTGACAACATCCAAAAAATAAAATTGTCCTAAATCATGATAAAGAATTGTTTTTCCCTCCCACTAGTGGATGGAAAAGTTACACTGAGCCAGAGTGAAGGACAGTATGTGTAATGTAATATTATTATTTATCTATTGCTGACAATGCATCATGGCACTTAGCTAGCACCCATCCCATGTTGCAGCGTGCATTCCACACCTATATTAAGTTGGGGGTGAAACGTGAATAGCTTAAATGTAGTTCAGGGGATTTGTTATTTCAGGACTAACTCAGTCCAGAGTATCCTATTTCATACGTTACCTCATCAGTTACATAGGCCACTTCACTCACAACCACCTAACTATATCATACAAGTGAACCAGGGACTACACAGGAGACAGTGGAATAGCCAAAACAGTATGGGGCAGCTAAGACAGGAGTAGATGGTAGGAGATATTTAAATGACAGTTTAATCATTTGAGTGTAAGAGCAACAGGGAAACCTTCACCTACAGACATGGGGACGGTCATGATTAAATACAGCTAGCTGCCCAATGAGACTTGCTTTATATTAAGTGAAGGGCAGCCCCAGTACACATTTAGATAGACTGATTCCTTGCAGTGTTCACAGATACGATTGCTATAATCAAACCTAAAACACACAGCAAGACCAGTTTACAGACTCTGAGATAAGGACCCTAACTTCAGCTGTAATGGGCATGAGATGTTTTCACCTTACACCATCTTGATCTTCACACAGTTTGTACCACTGTATGTTAAAGGCAAAGACGTCGTATTCTGAAACAGGACTCTTCACTCCTTTTTATACATGATTTTTTTCCTTTAAACAAATAGTAACATTTCAAAAGACCAAATGCAGTATAAATGTAACAGTGACACCTCTTCCAAACACCAGAAATATTTCCTTCTGCTCCTCCAATTGGACCCATTTCTTACTTCCCCAAACAGCCAGCAACTAGCAAATTGGCCAGCCTCTTCCCTTTACTCCTGTCCATGCAGAGCTTAGCCCAATATGTGACATGCTGTCAGATTACATTCAGAGCAGTGGGAGCTAAGCTGCAACATAATTTTTTGCTTTCAAGCTATCAACTACCCCACAGCAGCCAGGAACACGCACGGTGAATGCCACATTCTCTCTGTTGCAGAGATTATTGTTATGACGACATTCATATTCAGGAAAATCAACAAAGGGACTGTTTTTCTTTAGTGTACATGATAGAGAAATGCGGCTGGTAAGCCAGCCCTTGGCAGAGTTGCCTCCATACAGGATATCTTAGTAGCCTGCTAGAACCAGTACCTGAACCAAATGAGGTGGTACATGTTCTCTTTAAAGCTGCATCTCCCACTGAAGGAGAAATACAGAGCTGCAAGTGCACAGGGACAGAACAGTACATTTTAGTAGTCTTGGGAAGCCAGCCACATGAACTCATCTATAAGCTAAGCTCAGAGATGAATATACTGTTGTAAGTAATGGTCCACTTGAAGAAACAAGCCTTAACATGCAGTAAAGCTGGGTTGAAATCCATATATCACACTGTACAGGGCTTGCCAAGCAGCAGCGAGCCCTGCTCGCCAGCTGTGCGGTTTCACGTTGTTCTGCGCTCTTCTGCGCTCTGCCAGCTCTTCCGGGTTGTAATCTACTCGCCATGGCCGAGTAGATTATATTATTTGTTGAACCCTGACAATGTAGGCCAGGGAAGCCACAGGACTGCTGTGCATCCAAGTGTTTAAAACAGTTCCATTCTGTGATCTTCCTCAGCCAGGCTTTAGACAACCCAGGGGAAGAAGAGCAAGACATCAAGAGCATATTTATTGCTGCTACATTTAAGAGAAATAAAAACCCACCCAATAAGGCATCAAGGGGTTAACAAGAAAAACCTCTCAACAGCATCCTGCTGCTGCATCCCATTCATCCTGGAAAGACAGCTGCCCAGGGACTGGGCGAGTTCTGCCAGGTAGAAGAATCATTGGTTTTGCCAAGGATGTTCAGTGTAGAACTAGAAACCGTTCATAAATGCAGCCACAAGGCTGCTTTCTTTCCATTGCTTGCATACAAACGGAAGGAAACTGCAGTCTTGAGGCAAACACCACAGAGACTAAGTTAGATACAGCTGACAGAAGTACACGACCTGCATGGTTGCCCTATCCCAGGAGGGTTTTAGACTGTGTGTCAGAAGGTGTCTTAGAAATCCTGGGACTGGGCACTCTCACCCGGCTGAAGGTTAGTGCGTAGCTTGTACATGTGATCTAAGGCTTGAGTAAGAAAAGTCCCAGTGGTGTTGATCTCCATCAAGGTCAGATTATCCAGCTAAAAGACAAGGAGAGTGACATTACAGCAATATTTGAGGAAGCAGCAGTACAATCTCTGACGACAGCAAAATGAAGGCCTGTCTGTGCTACAAAATTATGTGACATAAATTACATCAACATAAAGCTACTGCAGTAATTAAGTAGATTTTTGTGCCCACGCTACTCTCTTTCTGTCGTCACCAGGAACACTTACAGCATGGATCACTGTGGAACGCTGAAAGCCCAGAGCCTAGCCACTCTGGCCGAGAGCTGGGGCTCTGAGCTGTCAGACAGCAGGAGCTGACAGCAAGAACAGTCAATGCAGAGTCTGCACACTGCACTGACCTAACTATATCAAGCTACGTCGTTACATGTTTTTCAGAGGTGGAATTTTTAGCTCAGTGTGTTAAGAGACTTACATTGGTCAGATAGCAATACGTAGCACAAATGCTTACAGACTTGAAAGAAGCACTGCAGCATTTGGAACAAAATTATACACAGAGAGCTGTGATCAGCTCAAAAGAGGAGCTTACAAACAAAAAACAAAACACACCCACATAGCTATAGTTCAACTGACCAAATCACAGAGGGGAAAAAGCTGCAAATGGAACTTTCACTAGCTGTTCTAATCATTCACAAGCCAACTAATCACACAGTATCTTGAATATTCCCAGGCCAAAACTAGCAGAAGTATCAGCCCACTCCAGATTCCTCTTACTGTACCTTGGCATGGGCCTCCTGCTGTCTGACAAAGCTGTCTGCAGACAGACGTAGTTTAGCTAGCCGCGTATCCCAGGTATCCTTAACCAGTGTTCGAATTTCATCTGCTTTTGGGATGCTGTCTGAGGCACTGAAAGAGGAGGTATGTCAGAACAGGCTGTAAAAGACTAATATGAATAGTGTAGTTTCCTTTATACAAAGATGAGACTAAAATCCAAGCTTCTGCTGCTTTTTCAGCTGTGGTTTTCTGTAGCTGCTGAAAATTACAAGCAAGTTGGGGGGGGGCGTGAAGGGGGCGAGAGAGATTGTGAGTAACCATGCACATTAACTGATGAGTTAACTGCATACATGGGTACACTTTTACATTCCTAGTTTTCAGTAGGGATATTCAATTTAGATTAATTAACTACTCGAAGAGTCGATGGGATTTCCATCGACTATTTAATTCGTGTATAAGGGCGCCTCCACCTTTGAACTGCTGGGCTCTTGCTACAGTTCAAAGGGGGGAGCCCCACAGGGAGCAGGAGACCAGCAGGGGACTGGCCCTGTGCTCCCTGCAGGACTTCACCTTTTGAAATGTACAAGAGTCCCACTGGGGCTCTTGTACATTTCAAAAGCAGAATCACAGCAGAACCGGCAGGAGCGGACACTGCTTCAGTCCCCGCTCATGTCGTTTTCTGCTGTGTCTCTACCTCCCCTACGCCCTGCGGAGATGGTACTGCAGGGAACCGGCTTTTAAGCAGGCTCCCTCCAGCATCAGCTCCCTCCCTTGCTGCCTCTCTCAGATAGAGGTAGCAAGGGGAGGAAGCAACCAGTCGCATCACTAGTCGACTATCCGATAAGCTTCTGCTTATCGAACAGTCGCCTAGTCACTTACATCCCTAGTTTTCAGTACAGACTTTCTGCTCTTTAATTGCCCAGTTTGGCCAGGTTATTAAGATTCCTGGTATTCCAGACAAAGTCACATAGTAAAACAGCAACTAAGTATCTCAATTGCTATTAGAGCCCAAGTTGAACCCACTCGGTCATAGAACCTTCACTAGAAAGGACCACATGTTGCATCATAACATCCTACTGGTTAGGTAATTCAAACACTTTCATGAGAACCTCAAGAGATCCTATCAATTTATCTGGACAGAAGTGTCATGGAGATTCTAGTTTAAGGAAAGGGTCTGCATACTAAGACATTGAACGCATCAGAAGAAACAGCTAGGGCTTCAAATGGCCAGTCCTACCAAGGCCTTTTCAAGTCAGAAGGGTATATGCTTAGAACTGTGGTTCTCAACCAATGGAACAAATACGCCTGCAGGTACACAGAGGTCTTCCGGGGGTACATCAACTCATTTATTTGCCTAGTTTTACAATAGCATAAAAAGTGCTACTGAAGTCTAGATACTATACATTGAAATGTAAACAAATATTATGTTCCAATTGATTCATATGGTAAAAATGAGAGAAAGTCTGCAATTTTTCAGTAATAGTGTGCTATGGCACTTTTGTATGTATGTCTGATTGGGTAAGCATATAGTTTTTAAGAGGGGTGAAACTTGGTGTTCAAGACAAATGAAACTCCTGAAAGGGGTACAATAGGCTGGAAAGACTGAAAGCCACTGGCTTAGAAGAAATTCCAACCAGCAAGCTAATTTTATTGTAATGAACTATCTTAGCAGACAGTTTAGAGTCTGAAAAGTCTGGAAGGATTAGGCTGCTGTGCTATGCACCTTCAGGGTCTCTACACCTAGTTACTACATTATATGCAGTGTTGAAGTTCAGTTACCACTCCACAGAACAAATTAAACCAAGTTAATAAACAAAAAGACTTCCATTAAGTAAGTGCCTTAGCAAAAGCTTGATGAGCTTTAGAATAAGAGTCCTGTAAACACTTTCCCAGAGGCCTCCAAGTTTAAATCCAATAAAATTCTAAAAGCTTTCCTAGGTCATGACTTACATTCCTGAGTATTTACCCACTTCATCCCACTGGTTAGGAAGAGAAGTACCTGGGACTTGTTATAACAAAAGACCCACTTACTAGTTTAACAGAAGCTTGGTTAGTTCCATGTAGTAAGGATTTGGCATTGGAGTGAAAGTGTCCTCTTTGCGCTCCTTATCCCGAATTTCCTCCAGCTTTTCTGAAACACAATTGAAAAGACTCATACTTTGCCAGAAGCTTCAACTCTCTAGTCAATTCTTCCCTGCAGAAATTACACCACTCGACCAACCTTGTACTATGAACTGCCTGTTTAGTAGCTTCAGAAAGGTAGTCGAGTCAGTCTGTAACTGGAAAAAACTTAAAAAAAAAACAAGGAATAGTCTCCACATTAGATTGGCAAAACTTAAAAAACAACGGATAGTCTTGCAGCGCAATTGCTCAGTCCCAGCTCACACCAGCTCCGGTAGCCACCCACACTGCAGCTCTGCAGAGTGGTACACCTTGTCAACTACACCAGAGGTGGGGAATCTTTTTTTGTGGGAGGGGAAGAGGGGGGCTGCTGACTGACAGAAAACAAATCAGTCAGGGGCCGCACACAAATGAGAAGCAAAAAACCAAAACCCAACCCTCCCTGCCATGGCCCTCAACTGAGAAGAAAGGCACACCCCACACATTTCCCTTGTACACCAAAGCTTGGGGGGAGGGGCAGCCTAATAGATTTTGTGAGCTCCAGCATCACAGTGTGGGACTGGAGTGCCAGTGCAGTCTCCCCAATGCTGGGGGGTAGCCCTGAGCTTCAGGGCTAGATCCAGGCAGGGTCTTGGTGGAGGGGATGAGTGAGGGGGCTAGGGGTGTAGGATCTTGGTGGAAGGGTGTGGGGGGCTGAGGTCTTGGTGGAGGGGTCTCAGCAGGGTGATGAGTGAGGAGGCTGGGGGTGCAGGATAGGGATGTAAGTGACTAGTCCATTATCTGATAACTGAAAGCTCCCTACTTTCAGGGCCTCCCTTATCTGTCCTACATCCCAAGGGTGCCAGGTCCATGTTGGTTGAGGGCGGGGCTTGAACCCTTGACCTCTGGCTCCAGAGGCAGGCTCATCACAGCCAGCACCAACTGCTCCATCAGGAAGCCCACATAAGGGACGCCCTGATGATAGGGAGGTGGGGTGCAGCCGGCCCCCAGGCCTGAGATTCCTTACCCCTGGACTACATGATTAGCCAAATAACTGCTCCTTAACATCCTTATATAAAACACTTTGCATTTTTATAGAACATGACCTCAAGTCTCTTTACAAAGAAATCTCACCACTGAGGTAGGCAAGAATGATTCTCATTTTACAGGTGGACAAATAAAGCCAAAACAGTGGCTAGCTGAAGATCACATAGAAACCAGTGGTAGATCTGGGATGCAGTATTTTAAACCAATGTTATGTATCAGAGGGTATTCTAACTACACAGATTAAAATTACAATGGTGACATACTAAGATCATGCTAGTTTGGTGTAGGGATATGATAGTGTACGTATGTACACGGTCAGGGGCGGCCTGTCCATATAGGTGAACTAGGCGGTCGCCTAGGGCGCCAAGTTAAATGGGGCGCCAAATGGTGGCACAATATCATTGAGGGGTTTGGAGGTCGGGGCGCCAATTGTATGGTTTGCCTAAGGCGCCAGTTGCTGGCAGCTAGTCTAGGGCCGCCCCTGTACACAGTTAACCAATGAGCATGGTTACATGCAGCATCTCCCTCTGTATTAGAGCCTGCATGTATTGGCTTACATGAACCCTCCTTTCCCCCTCCCCCATCTGCGCTGCTGCCTCTGAGACTCCCCACGCATAACAGCTCCTGCCTGCCCCCCTGCACTGCTGCCTCTGGGACCCGGTGCTCACGGGGAGCCTGTGTAAAAGCGGGTGGCTCCATGTGAGCACTGGCTCAGAGGCAGCAGCATGGGGGGAAAAGAGGACGGCTTGTATGTCACCATGAAGATTAATTGATGCATTCAGGCTTATTGGTTAACCATTTAAAGGTGTACACTATCACATCCCTAGTTTGGAATACTGCCATAGCAGTGTCAGTCCCAGAGTATTAGTGACTCAAGGTGGGTGAGGTAATTTTTTTTTTTTTAACTGAGTCAACTTTTGTTGGTGAAGGAGACAAGACCTGAAGAATACCTTCACACAGGGCTTGCCGAACCGCGGCAGCGCGCTGTCCGGTGATCTGCGCATGCACAGATCGCCGGAACCCGGCTCTTCCGGGTTACAATCTACTCGCCACGAGCGAGTAGATTGTATAATTTGTCAAGCCCTGCCTCCACGTAAGCCCGAAAGTTTGTCTCTTAGATCAACAGAAGTGAGTCCAACAAGAGACATTACCACACCCACTTTGTCTCTCTAAAATCATACTAGGTCTTGAAAAATCTCAGGAGCACTGCATTAGGAAACAGTTTCCTCCTACCATTTCTGCAATTTGCTCTAGGGAAAAGTGCAAAGGTTCAATTCTTGTATTTCAGTAATCCCCACTAGCTCTGCAGCCTGGCTAATGTGTGTTCTCCTTACCAGCGTCCATCCATTCAGGCGGTATTAGCCGACACTTCTGTCTCTGTTTTAGGTTAATAGCCAACCAAAGAGGCACTTCCACAGGCAGTCCAGGATTAAAGGGACCCAAATCTCCCTGTAAAATTAAATTAAGTATGAAAATAAGGAAAGTAGAATTAACAGGGCATACAAAATTGTGACACTGCTTTGAAAATCTAGTTTCTTTCATCAGCCTCACATGCATCAGAAGGGTCAACAGTTTCCAGTAGATTTAGGGAGGCCACGCCATGCCAACTGAAATGACCCCTCCTCTTAGTCCCAGATCCAAGCACAGTTCTCTTTTCCCTATAACTACTTACATTTCTATGGCATTTTCTATCCTAAGTACTTTTCATATATATATATATGAAACCTTTTTTCCCAGCACTAAGGGTCATGGTCACAGTAGACCACAAGCTAAATATGAGTCAACAGTGAGACACTCTTTACAAAAAATCAAACAGGATTATGGGATGCATTAATAGGAGTGTTGTGAGCAAGACATGAGAAGTCATTCTTTCACTCTTCTCTGCACTGATTAGGCCTCAGTTGGGAGTACTGCGTCCAGTTCTGGGCACCACATTTCAAGAAAGATGTGGAGAAATTGGAGAAAGTCCAGAGAAGAGCAACAAAAATGGTCTAGAAAGGTCTAGAAAACATGACCTATGAGGGAAGACTGAAAGAATAGGGCTTAAACAGAAGACCGAGGGGGAACATGATAGCGGTTTCCAAGTATCTAAAAGGGTGTTACAAGGAGAATGGAGAAAAATTGTTCTCCTTGGACTCTGATGATAGGACAAGAAGCAATGGACTTAAATTAAAACTAGGGAGGTTAGGTTGGACATTAGGAAAAACTTCCTAACTGTCAGGGTGGTTAAACACTGGAATACATTACCTAGGGAGGTTGTGGAATCTCCATCACTGGAGATATTTAAGGGCAGGTTGGACAGACACCTATCAGGGATGATCTAGACCTGGACTACTCAACATGCGGCCCAGGGGCTGTTTGTGGCCTGCAGTACAGTTTGGGTTTACATGGGCCTTAACACATGGCCCAGTGGTGGGATCCTTTGATCATGGCCTCAACTGGGAACACGCTGCACAACAGCAAGTCAATATAATGGTTGTCTGTTGAGCTGCGTTTTAGTAATTAAATTCTGGACTGTCATTGCTCATTAAGGCTATGTCTAACCTGCACGGCATCCATACTGCCCACCCACTCTTGTGCAAGAAGATTTACAGTACAGCATCGGAAGACAGGGCTCCTTGCGCACAAGTGTAAGAGGACAGCGTGGACGTGTGGCAGGGGTTTCTTGCGCAAGAAAGACCTATGCCTAAAATGGCCATCAGAGCTTTCTTGCGCAAGAGAGCGTCCACACTGCCATGGATGCTCTGTGCAAAAGCACATGGTGGTGTGGATATGTTCTTGTGCAAGATGTTCTTTCTTGCGCAAGAACCCACCAGTGTAGCCTAAAAGTGCTCTCATATAAGTGGAAATCAGGTAAATATTACATATTATTAATACCAGCAGAATGGACTTAAACGGGGCCTGACTGTTGTCTAGTCTTGCCTTAAATCTTTTGTACTCATGCCCATCAGCGTGAAAGAAGCTATGTGCACATATATGCAACCACACTGGAGTTGCAGCCCTTGGCATATGCTGCGAATATCACTGTGGCCCCCCAGGGCTTGCAAAGTTGCGTAGCCCTGATGTAGACGGTGCTTGGTCCTGCGGCAGAGGACTGGACCTGATGGTCTCCCGAGGTCCCTTCCAGCGTGAGGAGCGTGTTGGGAGTCGGAAATGCCTGTGGAGGGAACAGGGGCGGCATCTTGACAGCAAGGCAAGCGGGGCAGGTGATTCTGGACTCCCCTGATGCTGCACGGGGGAGCCGGGCGGGAGGGGCGTTGCCATGGTAACACGCACCACGGGGCGCGAGGGGCGGGGTCACCGCTACAGGCGCCCAGACTCCACGGTGAGAGGCGGCAGGAAGCCCCGGGCTATTACAGCGTCTGG